TCGTAGGAGAAGATCCGGTGGCTCTGGGCGACGTTTTCCACCCGGGAATTGAAGAGGAGCCGGAAGAAGACGCGGTTGATCCAAACCACCAGGCCGGGAAAAAAGGAGCTGCCGGGAAAAAAAAAAAAAAAAATCGGGAATTGAGGTTGGAATTCCCAAGGGATGACCGGGAAAGGATCCCAGAATCCTGGAATGGTCCGGGGGGGGGATTCATGGAGGTGAAATCCCAACCCCAGGGTGATCCAAACTTTTCCTTGGATGCTCCCAGGAATTCTCTGGGAATTCCAGCCCGGCCGGGAATTCCTTCCCAAATTTTTGAAAGGATTTTTCAGATTTTGAAGGATTTCTGTGTGATTTTTGGGGAATTTTTTGGGGGGAATTTGGGGTTTTCTCCAGGATTTGGGGAATTTTAGGAGGGAATTTGCAGTTTTTGGGGTTTTTTTCTGGGATTTGGTGGTTTTTGGGATCACCAGGATACTTTGGGATACCCCAGGAATTCCTTCCCCAATCTCATTTCCCCCTTTCCCAGGGAATTCCCTCCATTCCCTGCTCTGGGATTGGATCCATCCCCATCCCGACTCGTCTCTGCAAAGGAATTTTGGGAATTCCTTGGGAATTCAGGACTCCAGGAAGGGTCTCCCTTCCCTTTTCCATCTCCCAATTCCATAAAAATCCCTCAGGGATGGATCCTGAGTGTCCTGGATCCGAGAATCCTGGAATGGTTTGGATGGGATCCATGGATTTCAATCCCATTCCAATCTCACCATCCCAAATTTTTCCAAACTTTCCTTGGACACTCTCGGGGATCCAGGAATTCTCTGGGAATTCTTTTCCATCCCCTCCCAGCTGGGAATTCCTTCCCAAAAATCCCAAGAAATCTCTTGGAAATCTCCCTTTTCCCGGTGGGAATTCCATTCCCTGGCTCCAGCCCTTTTCCCTGGGAATGCTGGGATTGGGAATGACCTCTCTCCAAAGGAAAAGCTGCAATTCCTCAAGGATTCCAGATCCCAGGATTCCTGCAGCTCTCCCAGGATCTTCCCCTCTCCCAAAATCCCTCTTTTCCCAAAATTCCTCCTCCTTTGGATTGGATCCGTTCCCATCCCGGTGTTTGGGATATTCCCACATCCAAACCCATCCCGGAAAATCTCCTTTGCTCCCAAATTCCCAAATGCTGCCCAGGACAGGCGCGGAATTCCCAGGATTTCAAATCCATGGGATTCAGGACAAGGATCAAGGGCTGGGAAAATGGGATTCGGGGGAGTTTTTCCAGCCGAAACAATTCCAAGATTCCTTTGGAATTCCACGATTTCTGTGGCCGCCAGAGGGCAGCACAGCCCCAGCCGTGAATCCTGGAAAAATTTCCCGAATTCCTCCTTTTCCCGGGAATGGGAATGCTGCAGGTGACGGCTCTGCCTTCCATGAGAAAATCCCAACAAATCCCAGCACGAGGAGAAAATCGGGATGAGGCCAGGCCTGGAAAATCTTTGATCCCGGTTGCCGGAGGATTTTGTTTCCTACCTGATCCAGAGGAGGAATTCCAGGAGATAATATCCAACGGCGTAATCCCAAAACCAGCTGGAGGAGGAGCAGGGAGGCTGCAAATCCGGCAGGAAAAATCAGGGATTTTAGGGATGAGAAGGATTCGGAGGGCGGGAAAGTGGGAATGGAAAATTGGGATTCACTTGGGAGTGACGGGGGGGGGGTTGGAGAAGGGAATTCCCAACATTCCCAAATATCCCAGCTCGGGAAAAAGAGTTGGAATTGCCAGTGGGGAGCCAAGAGGTTGGAAAATCCCAGAATTCCCAGAGTGTGGAGAGCAGTTGGAGCTCGTTCCCAAAATTCTGCTTCCCACTTAAATTTCCAGGAAAATTCCAAGAGCTTGGAAAATCCCGGAATTTCCAGAGGGGCAGAGCCCCATTCCCAAAATTCTGCTTCCCACTCAAATTCCATTCCTGGAATTTCTGAGAAAATTCCAAGAGCTTGGAAAATCCCAGAATTCCCAGAGTGTGGAGAGCAGTTGGAGCTTGTTCCCGAAATTCTGCTTCCCACTTAAATTTCCAGGAAAATTCCAAGAGCTTGGAAAATCCCGGAATTTCCAGAGGGGCAGAGCCCCATTCCCAAAATTCTGCTTCCCACTCAAATTCCATTCCTGGAATTTCTGAGAAAATTCCAAGAGCTTGGAAAACCCCAGAATTCCAAGAGTGTGGAGCACAGACAGAGCCCATTCCCAAAATTCTGCTTCCCAGCCTAAAATCCATCCCTGGAATTTCTGGTAAAATACCAAGAGCTTGGAAAATCCCGGAATTCCCAGAGGGGCAGAGCCTATTCCCAAAATTCTGCTTCCCACCCAAATTCTCAAAATCCATCCCTGGAATTGCTGGGAAAACACCAAGAAGTTGGAAAATTCCAAAATCCCATTCCTGGAATTTCCCAGGGGGATGCAAAGAGCTTGAAAAATCCCGGAATTCCCAGATCACAATGTTCAGGCAGAGCCCATTCCCAAAATTCTGCTTCCCACTTAAATTTCATCGTTGGAATTTTCAGGAAAATTCAAAGAGCTTGGAAAATCCCGGAATTCCCAGATCACAATGTTCAGGCAGAGCCCCATTCCCAAAATTCTGCTTCCCATCCAAAATCCATCCCTGGAACTTCTGGGAAAATGCCAAGAGGTTTGGAAAATCCAGGAATGTCAAGAGCCTGGAAAATCCCAGAATTCCCAGAATGGCAGAGCCCCATTCCCAAAATTCCTCTTCCCACCCCAAAATCCATCCCTGGAATTTCTGGTGAAATTCCAAGATCTTGGGGAAATCCCGGGATTCCTGCCTTGGAGGTGGGGTCCTGGTAGATGATCCGGACGTTCTCGGAATGCGGGAACCACAGGAATCGGAAATATTGGGATTTCCTCAGGTGCTCGTCCAGCTCATCCAGGACCTGGAAAAAAACGGGAAAAAGGTTGGGATCCAATGGGAATAATTCCCAGGAAATTATTGCCAGGGAGAAATTTTCCAAGGAAATTTTTCCTAAGAAATATTGCCAGGAAATTATTCCCAGGAAATTATTCCAAGGAAATTATTCCTAAGAAATATTCCCAGGAAATTATTCCCAGGAAATTATTCCAAGGAAATGATTCCCAGGAAATTATTCTCAGGAAATTATTCCAAGGAAATTATTCCTAAGAAATATTCCCAGGAAAGATTCCCAGGAAAAATTTTCCAAGGAAATTATTCCTAAGAAATATTCCCAGGAAAAATTTTCCAAGGAAATTATTCCCAGGAAATTATTCCAAGGATATTACTCCTAAGAAATATTCCCAGGAAAGATTCCCAGGAAAAATTTTCCCGAGGAAATTATTCCTAAGAAATATTCCCAGGAAATTATTCCCAGGAAATTATTCCAAGGAAATTATTCCCAGGAAATTCTTGCAAAGAAATATTCCCAGAAAATATTCCCAGGAAATGATTCCCATGGAATATTCCAAATAAATCTTCCTAGTAAATCTTCCCAGAACATATTCCCAAGAAATATTCTCAGGAATCATTTCCCTGGAAATATTGCCAGGAATTATTCCAAGAAAATATTCCCAGGTAAAATTCCTCGGAAATTATTGCCAGGAAATATTACCTGGAAATTTTTCCTAAGAAATATTCCCGGGGAAATTATTCCCAGAAAATATTCCCAGGAAATGATTCCCAAGAAATATTGCAAGGACACCAACATGGACTCCTCTCTGGGAAGGAATTTTGGGAATTTTGGGAATCTCAGGACTCCAGGAAGGGTCTCCCTTCCCTTTTCCATCCCCGAATTCCATAAAAATCCCTCGGGATGGATCCTGAGTGTCCTGAATCCCAGAATTCCAGATTTTTTTTTTTGGGATGGGATCCAGGGATTTTAAATTCCATCCCATTCCCAGGGTGCTCCAGGATTTCCTTGGACATTCCCAGGGATTCTCTGGGAATTCCAGCCCAGCCAGGAATTCCTTCCCAAATTCCTCCCAGTTTATTTATTTATTTATTTATTAAATTTCGGGTGATTTTTAGGGTTTTTTTTTTTTTAATTCCACGTTTTCTCCAGGATTTCAGGATTTTTTTGAGAGGGAATTTGGAGGGGGATTTTTTTGGGATTTGGAGCTTTTTTTTTCTGGGATTTGTGGGTTTTTTTGGCAGGGATTTGGGTGGATTTTTTTGGGATCACTCACTGGGATACCCCAGGAATTCCTTCCCAAATCCCATTTCCCCCTTTCCCAGGGAATTCTGGGATTGGATCCATCCCCATCCCGACTCCTCTCCGGGAAGGAATTTTGGGAATTCAGGACTCCAGGAAGGGTCTCCCTTCCCTTTCCCATCCCCGAATTCCATAAAAATCCCCTCAGGGATGGATCCTGAGTGTCCTGGATCCCAAAATCCCAGAATTCCTTTGATGGCATCCATGGATTTTCCCAATCCCATCCCATCCCAACCCAGGGTGATCCAAATCCACCCTCGGACATTCCAGAGGATCCAGGGACCACCCAAAAAATTCCCCAAAAAATTCCCCATCCCCACATTTTCCACGATTTTATTTGGGAGAAGGACGGGAGAAGGACGCAACATTCCCGTTTTTTTTTTTTTTTTCTGTCCCAGGGATCAGGGAATTGACCTTTGCCAGGAGCAGCCTTTGATTCCCGGGATTTTAATCATCGGGAAAAACGGAGCCCGGAGCCTTTGAGGGATAATTCCGGCTCAGTGGGAAAGGCGGGAGCGGCTCCCGGTGTCCTTGGGATGGGATTTGCCGCTGGAATTCTGCGATTCCTGCGGAATCCTGGAATCCCGGAATGCTTGGGAATGGGATTCGTGGATCCCCCATCCCGTCCCGGGATGCTCCGGGGCTGTCCTTGGGGTCGGGATGGAAATTTTAGGGAATTTTATTATTTTTTTTTTCCCCCGGAATTTTTTGGGTGGTCCCTGGATCCTCTGGAATGGCCGAGGGTGGATTTGGATCATCCTGGGTTGGGATGGGATTGGAAAAATCCATGGATCCCATCAAAGGAATTCTGGGAGCCAGGAGGCTCAGGATCAATCCCTGAGGGGTTTTTATGGAATTGGGGGATGGGAAAGGGAAGGGAGACCCTTCCTGGAGTCCCCAATTCCAAGGGAATTCCCAAAATTCCTTCCCAGAGAGGAGTTGGGATGGGGATGGATCCAATGCCAGAGCTGGGAATGGAGGGAATTCCCTGGGAAAGGGGAAAATGGGATTTGGGAAGGAATTCCTGGCTGGGCTGGAATTCCCAGAGAATCCCTGGGAACATCCAAGGAAAGGTTGGATCACCCTGGGATAGTGGGATTGGAATGGGATGGGATTGAAGATCCATGGATCCCATCCCAAACCATTCCGGGATTCTGGGATCCAGGACACTCAGGATCCATCCCTGAGGGATTTTTATGGAATTGGGGGATGGAAAAGGGAAGGGAGACCCTTCCTGGAGTCCCAAATTCCCAGTGAAGCCCCTGGATCCTGAAATTCCTTCCCAGAGAGGAGTCAGGATGGGGATGGATCCAATGCCAGAGCTGGGAATGGAGGGAATTCTCCGGGAAAGGGGGAAATGGGATTTGGGAAGGAATTCCTGGCTGGGCTGGAATTCCCAGAGAACCCCCGGGAGCCTCCCAGAACAGCAGGATGGGATCGGGATCGGAATTCCAGCCCCACAAATCCCATCCCAGGCTTTTCCGTGTCCTCTCCCGACCTTTCTCCGGAGTTTAATTTCATTTTATTTTATTTTATTTTTTTTAATTTTTTTTTTTTTTTTTCCCTTCCCCCGAGCCCTAACGAGGCCGTTACGTAATCCCAGATCCAAGGGCTCCCACATTCCCGGATCTCCGAGGCTGCAAACATTCCAGGGTCATTATTCCCTTCCGCTCCGGCGGAGAAAAGCCGGGATCGGGGAGGGCGATGACCGGGAATTGATAGCGAGGATATTTCTGGAAGCGTTCCCGAGGGATCGGGAATGACGGGAGCAGGGAAAGGGGAAAGGGAAAGGGGGGATGGGAGCAGAGCTCAGATCCAGGGAATGGAGATTTTCCAGGGAAAAAAAAAAAGAATAAAGTGGGATTGGAGGCGGGGAAGGAGGATTGGGGGGGATGGGGAAGGATTCAGGGAATGTGGGGAAGGATTCAGGGAATGTGGGAAAGGATTTATGGGAATTTGGGAAAGGGTTTAGGGAATGTGGGGAAGGATTTGGGGAATGTGGGGAAGGATTTGGGGAATGTGGGGAAAGGATTCAGGGAATTTTGGAAAATGATCCAGGGAAAGATTTGGAAAATGCAAGAAAGGTGGGAAAAGGATGGAGGGAATGGGTTGGGAACTGCAGGAAAATTGGGAAAGAATTT